CCTGGTGATCCAGAATTCAAACATGGTGGCAATAGAGAAGATTGTCATTATGCACATCCTACAAGCAGTATATTAAGTGATCTTGATCCCACTGGTGGGCTATTCCTACAGACAAACTGGCAGATACAGGGATTTTTACAGGAGCAAGCTGATGCACTTGAAAAGTAAGTGGCATATACGTTGACAATCTTTTGGTTTTCCTATTTGTTTAATGTACTTTAGGCTGTACTGAATCTTGATTTATATCCGTTTGGTAGGCAGGGGAGCTCTTTCTCTTTAAATGCTTTTGAGCTCATGCTTAGGCAGCTTCAAAAACTGGCACCCGAGTTGCATCACATTAGTAACTTACACAAATATTTTTCTTATTTGGTAACTTGTATTGTACTTGCACTTAAAAAGTATGTTTCTTTATCATTTTGGATTTTGATCCAGGTTCACTTCTTGTGTTACTTGAATGGTCTGTATCATGATGATTTTTTTGCTGCTTTGGAGAATGCTATTTTGATTACAGGTACATTAGAACTCAGCTCTGCATGTAGTTTGGTAATTTCTTGATAAAGTTCTGTTGTGTGAGTTTCTTTTTCATTTAGTAACCTAATTTTGAAATATTGAACGTAAATTGGAAATGGTGAGCCATGACTGTACATCGTGTGTTCCTATGAAAGGAGATACTTGTTATGACTGGATGCATCACTACGCTTCATGGCTTTTCATGCATGTCCAATGGCATGCTCCTAGTCTTGGTTACCTATGTGAAAATAAGTTTGATAGATTTTGGTGGGCTTAGGTTAAGCCATTAAATGAAAGCTTTCAAACTGTAATTTTATGTTAGTTGTGTTACCATCGATGTCCATTATTTTTTTCTTCTATGTGTTTATAACAAACAAACTAATCCAATAAATATTGGCACAAAAGTTCAGGATGAAGGGATTTGATCTTATTCCTCCTGCATCTGGTTGCAATAGCTTAGGAAGATATGAAATTGCCTTGCGTTGTTTAGGAATGATGCGTTTCCATTTTGGGCACGCAAAGCAAGCTTTGGAGGTGAGGCCATATTATCTACTCCTTTAATTAAGAATCGTCATTTGTATTTCCCTGTGGTTTACATATTCACTTTTATCCTAAATCAAACATATTTCATTATGTCCGTAATTATATTGTATCTGATGGTTTGCTATAACCTTTTGGATGACATGCGTGCCTCTGAATTAAAAAGGCATCCTGATATTATCCTTCCTTTACATATATGTTGTCTACTAGAACCTCATGGTTTTCAACTTGTGCAGCAAAGTAACGATACATGCCTTGCTTACACCTTAGCGGCTATCTGCAATTTGTTGTCCGAAACTAGCTTATCTAGTACAACTGGAATACTGGGCTCATCATATTTACCTTTGACCAGAATAGGCATTTCACTGTCTGTCGAGCAACAACTTTTTGTTCTCTTGAGAGGGTCTCTGAAGAGAGCAGAAAATTTGAAGTTAAACCGTTTAGTTGCATCAAATCACCTTGCAATGCCTAAATTTGATTTAACGGTGAGCATGAAATTGCAGTGTATTTTCACCAACTGATTCCTAATCTAGGCCATCTTTGTACTTCTTCCCTCTGTAAAGACTGAAGGGGGTATTGTGGATGTCATGCTGCCGATAATGATGATAAAGCTGTTTCTCATTGCATAAGTTCATTTGCAGCATGTGCAAAGGCCTCTTGTTTCATTTGGGCTTCAATGAAGCTGAGAACAAGCCCAGTTAATGTTTGCAAGGTAACGGTGACCCTTTGAAGATTTTAATGTTATTTGATTTCCTAAATTGTTCAATTTCCTAACATTGCTCCCCTCGTTTCCCTCTATTATATGTAATTCTTGCAGGAACTTGGATTCAGTTCTTTTGGATCCGAAACTTCTTCAACGACAACTGATGGTGCTTTTAGTACTGCATGGCTTAAGAATATACAGAAGCCAATGAATTCACAAGTTTTGTCTCAAGAAAGTGGAACAGGAACCAATAATGCTTTCCAGTTCTGCGCACAACCAAGTTCAGTCCCTGCATCTGTGTTGCAGTTAATAGGCTCTTCATACTTACTTCGTGCCACTACATGGGAAATATATGGAAGGTGATCTTTTGTAAATGCCTGTGTTAAACTTTTCCTTTTGTGCTGATTTAACTTCTACAGTCTACAGTTGACGGGATCGGTATTTCCTGTTGGAATAATAGACTTATTGTGCCTAGATTTCGAGTTACCTTGTCATCTTAAATTTTCATTTTCAGTTTTCACTTTTTTGAAAACTGAAACTGAAATCTTGTTTGGTAACTACTTTCAGTTTTCAAAAAAAAAAAAAAAACTAAAAACCAAAAAGTGAAAACTCAAGGCCAAATTTTGAAAACTCAAGAAAGTAGTTTTCAGTTTTCATTTTTTTGAAAACTGAATATTGAAAGTAGTTACCGAACAAGATTTTAGGTCTCAGTTTTCAAATAAGTGAAAACACAAACTGAAAATTGAAAATGAAATAGTTATCAAATGGTTAGTTTTATTACCATACTATTTTTATGGGGATATAATATCTTGCTTGTTTTGAGACATTTTTCTTTTCATATGTCATCAGTTCGTCTCTTGCCAGAATTAATGCACTTGTTCATGCAACTTGTTTTCCTGATGTTTCAAGCTAATTTTTAACTGAAAGTATCATAAGATTTACATATCATGTTTCTATTCCGATCCATTTTTATAACTTGAGCCTGACTATTTCTTGGATGTCCTCAGTTCATCTGACACAGCATTAGCATATTTGAAGCTCATCCAACATCTAGCCGTTTTTAAAGGATACAATGGTTAGATAAAATACTTGAGTACTTAAAAAGAATATATTTTTTTGGAGATGCAGCCATATCAATTTATGGTCCGAGTACTCTATCTCCCTCTCATGTGCATCACATGCACGAATGTTGTTGATCATTGATGACTTGTATATTTTTCTTCTCCTTGTTTAGAGGCTTTTGCTGCTCTTGAAATAGCTGCAGCGAAGTTTTTATTCGTCTCAAAATCAAGAATTTTGTTACTAAAACTTCAGCTGCTCCATGAGCGTGCTTTACATGGGTAAGTTTACCAGGTGCACCATTTCATGAATATTTTGATTCATGTACAGTATTTTTCTATGTCTATGTCAGTCATGACCTTGCCAAATGTCATTTAGAGGACATTTGAAGCTTGCCCAACAAGTATGTGATGAGCTTGGAGTCCTGGCATCATCTGTCAATGGCATGGATATGGAACTGAAGACGGAAGCAAGCCTCAGAAATGCTCGTACATTGCTTGCAGCAAATCAGTTCGGTGAGGTTCAATATTACACATAGAACTTCTTAACTTATAACTAGACTTCATCTTCCCAATGTGTGGCATGCTTTTCTTACTACTTTGGAATTTCACCGCAAGCAGCAGCTGTAGCACCCTCCCTCTTTTGTATGTGTTACAAATTCAAAATGCAAGTTGAAAATGCCAGTGTTCTTATTTTGCCAACTGAAATCCACAAGGTACAATTTTACATTTGGTACACGATGTGGTAGGAGGTTCAGGCAGACTAAACTTTTCATGACGACCTGTCTTCTTTGCCACATATCTACCTGTTTGTCTATTAACAAAGTTCGTCTTCTATATTACTGCAAAGCTAAAAGTTCTTTTATTTCTGTTTCCCAGAAATCAGGTAATGCTGTTTTAGGTCTTCCATATGCATTGGCAAGCCTCTCGTTTTGCCAGTCACTTAATCTGGATCTTCTTAAAGCATCGGTCACACTAACACTAGCTGAGTTTTGGCTCTCACTTGGATCAAGTCTTGCAAAAATGGCCTTGAGCCTTGTACATGGGGCTTTTCCTATGATTATTGGGTCAAGGAGGGTTGGAGCTCCGTGCTCACGCCTTTATTGTAGAAGCAAAATGCTATCTATGCATTTTCTCATAACACGTTTCATCATCGATTGAGTTTTTCCATTGCTGCCATTGTCAAATTATACTTGGCTGTATTTTATTTTATGATCAAACATATTTTACACGAAGTCCTAATTGTTTTCACATTTCACTAGCCAGTTTCTGGAAGCATGTACTGGATCCTTTGAGACAAGCTTCGGATGAGCTTCAATCAATTGCTAGAGGTAAAATATACTTCTGAGTTTTGAGTTTTCGGAAACTTTTGCTTTTTTATTGGCTGAAAATGGGAGTCTGAATACTACTGAGTCGGAACCCCCGTTGATGGCTGTGAAAATGCTTCTGGTTCGCAGCATCACGAATTGGCGGCCGAAGCTTTCTATTTGATGGCGATGGTCTTCGACAAACTCGGAAGGATAGAGGACAGGGAAGACGCTGCAGCTTCGGTTAAGCAGCACATTTTGGCTCTGGAGAATCCGCAAGACGAGGAAGATCCTCTTATCAACATGTTTTGAAGGTAGATGTATATGTCATCTTGTAAACCAGCCATTTTAGATGGATCGTGATGCAAAATATCCTACTACTTCGACCGTATCTTTGAGAAATTATGAGTTTGAACATTATAACTTCACTTTTAATTAATATGAAGGCCGATTATGATAAATCTCGTACTTCTGTATAAGTTGTAATTAACAAGTTGGAAACAATATTGATGTTGCTAAAAGCGAATCTTTGGCCGTCTCTCTAAGAATTTGACATGGGAAAGTGGGTCTGGACCTGCGGTAAGTAGTATCTGATCTCCGTTTAATTAAAAAGTAAAAAACAAACTCGCGGGAAAAGCAGAGCGCCACCGCCGCGTGCTCCCGCATGGGTTTACCGTTATTAAAGGTTTTCCCGAGGGCTGTTCTGACTTTTCACCCATTTAACGATCAGAGTTTTCTACGCCATAAACTCGCGGTTACGAACATCCAAATCCCGGGTTGCGTCCCCCAAGAGCTTTCCTCCCAGAACTGACCACTGCATGAAAATTCTGAACAGAAGAAGTCGAGTCTCACACGCCTGTACCACCATCAGCCCGTTCAACCATCCATATCCGCTCACGTGTCGCGACAATCGGATAACTCGATACCTGCCACGTTATCATCACCTTACCTGCAAGTCCACTGTCAGTCACTGCTATATGACCGCGTCTCATTCACCCCACAGCCACCGCAACGGCGATAAGCAGCACCATGGGCCAGGAAAACGACACCCAGTTCAACCTCGTTGGGTTCTCCAACTTCGTCCGGACGAACCCCCGGTCCGACCGGTTCAAGGTCCACCGCTTCCACCACGTCGAGTTCTGGTGCACCGACGCCACCAACGCCGCCCTCCGATTCTCTTGGGGACTCGGCATGCCCATGGTAGCTAAGTCGGACCTCTCCACCGGCAATCAAACCCATGCCTCCTACCTTCTCCGCTCCGGCGACCTCAATTTCCTCTTCACCGCCCCGTACTCCCCCACCCTGACCCGAACCGCCGACCCGGCCCGGCCCAGCAACTCCAGCGCCTCCATTCCCACCTTCGACCACACCGCTTCCCGCGCCTTCTCTGCCACCCACGGCCTCGGCGTCCGCGCCGTCGCCATCCAAGTCGAAGACGCCGTATCCGCCTTCACCACCAGCGTCGCCCACGGCGCCAAACCCTCGGCCGCCCCCATCCTCCTCGACAACCGCGTCACCATCGCCGAAGTCCAACTCTACGGCGACGTTGTTTTGCGGTACGTCAGCTACTCGGACCACAACCATCTCACAGACCCGGACCCCAACCTCTGGTTCCTCCCCGGATTCGAACCCCTACCGTCATCGTTTCCAATCGACTTCGGAATCCGCCGCCTCGACCACGCCGTCGGCAACGTGGAGGATCTCAAATCGGCGATATCGTACGTTAAAGGCTTCACCGGATTCCACGAGTTCGCCGAGTTCACCGCCGACGACGTCGGAACGAGCGAGAGCGGATTAAACTCCGTCGTTTTGGCGAACAACGAGGAGATGGTGCTGCTTCCGATGAACGAGCCGGTGTACGGGACGAAGAGGAAGAGCCAGATTCAGACGTACCTGGAGCACAACGAGGGGGCCGGACTCCAGCATTTGGCGCTGGTGAGCGAGGACATATTCAGGACGCTGAGGGAGATGCGGAGCCGCAGCAGCGTCGGCGGATTTCAGTTCATGCCGAAGCCGCCGCCGACGTATTACGGGAATTTGAAGAAGAGGGCAGGGGATGTGCTGACGGATGAGCAGATTAAGGAGTGTGAGGAACTGGGGATTTTGGTGGATAGGGACGATCAGGGGACCCTGCTTCAGATTTTCACTAAGCCTGTTGGAGATAGGTAAATTCCATCACTTTCTCTGCTCTTTTTCTTCATGTTTCCCGATATTTTAAACTACTCTAATTTACGAGTTTCATGTTTTTTCAATTAACAAAAAGTATGTTTCTCTGTATTTTTCATGGTTCAATCCTTGGTAGGAATCTGGTTTTTCATGATTCTGTCAAACTCGATGCCCATCAAGTTAGATTTTTAGTGTTAAGCTTCGAATTGAGTCCTTTTGATTCGTATCGTAGAAATCTGTCCTTTGAGAAAAATATAGAAAATTGATCATTCGGGTCCATATGCTTTCCGAGTAGAAATCAGTAGTTGTGTTGAAGTTTATGCCTTGTTTGTGAAAAGGAAAAATTGATCACAAATACATTAATAATGCAACTCACATTTTCCGTTGCTGTAACGATCGTTGGATCGGATTAATGGTTCTTGTATAAAATTGGCAGGCCAACCATGTTCATAGAGATCATTCAGAGAGTTGGGTGCATGCTTAAGGACGAAGAAGGCAAGGTTCACCAGAAGGGTGGGTGCGGTGGGTTTGGGAAGGGTAACTTCTCCGAGCTCTTCAAGTCCATCGAGGAGTATGAGAAGACGCTCGAAGCCAAACAGACTGCAGAGCCAGCAGCTGCGTGAATCGCCATCGTCTGCAATATTATAAAATGACTAAATAAGGCGGTTGCTGAAGCCAGGTTCGTTGTACTCATTTTAAGGCTGTTGAATGAGTAGTGTCATTTTGTGTATACCAAGCTGTATGTGTGTTACTGTTGGTGCCTATTGATTTATGCACAATGACACAAATGTTATTGCTAAATTATACTTGTGACAGTAATCAATCACCGGACTTGTTGCACTGTCGACGTGCTTGTAATGTGCAACGTTAAAGAGGAATACAAATCAGAGTATTAAGTCTTTGTGCTGTAATCTTTTGTTCTTGTTTTCTTAATTATGTTGGACATACGACTTTGGCAATTCTGTTCTTTTATCCTCAGCCAGATGATATATTTGGAGGCAGAAATAAGTACATTTTCTACTCTAGGCTTCCAGATGGACGTGGGTGGTGAGAACCGTCGTTCCCAGCCATTCAGAAAATTGTTTGATAGATTAGCATAGATCATGATGTTGAAACAAACTGAGTCGTGATAATTGTAGCGGAAATTTCGATAGCTTCATCCCGATACATGTACTGTTTGGTAACTAACTTAGGTCAGAGAATTGAGATTGTAGTTTGTTTCAAGCCATGGTGACTAGCAGGAAGTAGCGTGCTGTTTGAAGTTTTGAACTATATGCCATTGTTGTGGATTTTCATGCAGAGCTTTGTGCCCGTAGCGAAGCTGCCAAGTGCCAATAGGGCAACCTTAACTGATCATTCAAAACACCGGCCAAATGATCCCGGATCAAACCCAAAACTCGGGACGCATACTATTACATGGGGATGAGCATCGTAGTCTGTTTTTACGGTCTTTCACTCGTCGGAACGGGATCGGAGTGGAGACGGGTTAATTGTGTGGCACGAGTCCACTGTGGAAGGATCGAAACTTTAGAAAGAGGTCCAGTGTGTTTGCCTTAACATCTTCAGCTAAGATGTCAAAAGGAACTCGGAACCAATACAATCCCATCTAATTGAAATGTTTACATCTTCAGCTAAGATGTTAAAGGGAACTCGGAACCAATACAATTCCATCTAAAAGAATTGAATAAGTTGACGAGGATCAGACTCTATAATAATGTTTGATAAACCATGTTTGCTGCACTCCTCCAATGGTAGAGGCCTCTGCCATCAAAGCAACCCGTTGATTAAACCCCGATGTAAATTAGTGGTTCTTATATGTCCTTGATAGTATTACGATAAAGAGAAAAATACTTTAAACTATAGACTTAAAAGAAAAACCTAGCTAACATTGAATTTGGACCATCCGTTATAGGAAGGAATTATTACGATAATTTTTTGTGGATATTATTATGATTTCTTTTGTAATTGTAGTACTTATCTCGATCGGAGGATTATCTTGACGTCTATGTTGGTGGGGGACATTATAGCCTTACCGCAAAACATGGTCTGATTGTCCAACAAACATGCCACGTGTGGTTTATCACCACCAATTACCAAAGAATGATTAGGTGATGGCTTTTGATTTTGCATGTGGTGGTGATGAATGGAAAATTATCCTAATGCAATTGCGGGCATAGGATTATTAGCAAGGAATAACTGATGACTATTCTGCCCGCAGTCTCCGATTGGCATGGGATGGATCATATTATACGGTTACAATTTGAAAATGAGGCAGTTCACTCCTATAAAATACAAGGCGACACGCAACTAGAAAGATCTTTTCAACTCAACAACAAATCAAAACCTTCTAAGATAATTGTATCAAATTTTCAGATTTTTTTATTAAACCGTTTGACCGTGACAATGAAATAAAGGCCTAGCATACAACTTTTTCAGATTGACATTTTTGGACATTTTGGGTATTTTGGAGATCAATATGGCATATTTTAAGGAAGATTCCTTCTGAGGATTTGTTGGGGATGACATAAGCTTTCAAAAGAGACCTTTTTGAACCAAATCGAAGTTGATTTGGTTAGTCAAAAGTTTAATTTTCTAAGAAGTCCGAATTTCAGTTTAAATAGGAAACTTTTTATTTTTTGTTTTATTATTTTATTATGTTTCCTAATTTTATTCTAAGACATTTTGTACGTAGGATTTTATTTTGTAATAGTATAAATAAGGCTATTTAGCCATTAGAGAGAAAAAAAAAGAGGAGGAGACACACTACTTAGCTTTAGACGATTCAAGTTTATTTTCAAGGTGTTTTCTATCCTTATTTTTAACATATGATTGTTCGTAACTAGTTTCTTTTGCTAGGGCGATGCCACGAGACTTAGAAAGAATATGTAGTTTCTTTTCAATTTACTTATGATATTATGCATGCATGATTCGCGACTATTAGGCTATTTTGAAAAGGAAATTGATGCAATTTTGGTTGGAAGGTTTCCTGAAATTGGCGATGGCTTCTTGTTGTTAATAATTGTAATTTCACTTAGGATGAACACCACGTCTTCAAAGTTGCATGGTTTTTCAAAGGGGTTTCACAAAACTTAATGAGTCTTTCATGTTCATATTTGATCTAAACGTCCGGACGGATTAAATGTTAGATATACATTCTATGTTGAAGGTTCCAAATAGGACATACTTTAGGAAAACCTAATCTTCAAATATGCATGGGTAATTCATAAGTGATTAGGAGAACTATGTAGGATTGTTAAAGTGATGGTGGAACCTAAATACTCTTACAAATTGGTTTTCTTTAAATTATTTTCTAATTGATTTCTTAATTTGTTTTTTTATTAAATTCGTTTTAAGTATTTTAAATCCAAAATCAACATTTTTCAAAACTTTGTTTTAAATAATTAATTAAGAGTTGGTTTTTTAAATACAAACTATTCATTCAATCCCCATGGAAACGACCTTGCGTGAGCCGTTTAAACTAGAACTACCTTGTTCTCTTGCAAGTATTTTTAAGTGTTTTTATCCCTACTTTTGCATGTGGTAAAAATCCTCTCAAGAAATTAGCGTCGCTGTGTATTGTTTCAAATAATTTGTGTTTATCATATTCCTAGTTAATTATTTTTGTATATATCTTTTTATTTACCTGTTGATTTTTATTTATTTAATTTTTTTTTTTGTAGGTTGTGGTTTGTTAATTTTGAAAGCCATTCAATGATAAAGCCTCCGGCATGAGAGTTGCCTTTATGGGTTTCTTTAGCAGAAAACGGTTTTTATGGATTTAGACCTACAATTTGTGCCCTTGTTTATTTGAAGACCCATGATATTTTGCAGTGTCCCGAAAGGGAATATTTTCCTGAGTTTTTGCGGAAGCATATCAATACGAGAAACAACTCAAAAAGGCATTGGAACAATCCCTATTCAGAGTTCTACCCTTTAGGTTTGAAAAAGCACCTTTATTTTATGTGGGCATGTAATCAACGGTATTTTGAGCAGCGTGATGTGCCACAAGAGCTTTCGGTGGAGTGCAAAATCTCAATATTGTTGGGATCATCTAATTTGTACATTGAAAATACATAACAAAGTATCAAAATACACCAAAATAAACCAATAAATTATAATTAAGAATAGAGTAAAATGTACGGGCTTTTGGTTTCTTTTGGTATTCCTTATAGTAGTACACTTCCTTCCACAGCGAAATAACTTGCTGCATTAAACACAAAAATGATGAGATATTTTGCCGAACATGTCAATTCATCAACATAAATTGGTCGATGCAAGGGGCTTGTAGCTTAGTTGTTAACAACATTCACCACTTTGAGGTCCTGTGTTCGACTTCCTCTCCCCTAGTATTGCTTGTATATATAAACGAAAAATAAAATATGAGTTGGGTTGCTTACTAACTGCAACATCAGCACCTGCATTATCATAGCCAGTTCATGTAGAAGCAAAACAAACACTAGTAGCAAAATCTGAAATGTTGTGCGTTGGATCCAAGTAAGCAGGTATAGTTGGCTTGTAGCCTAGACCTTCGGGGATGAAGTCAGAAGGAATCCGGCCATTGCAGAACCGCCCGGTGGGCTGGCCTCCTGGAAAATCTTGACCTTAAGGCTGGAATTTGCGCCTGGCAATATTGTAGGAATGAAGTTGCTGTTACCTGAATCAACAGAAGAATCTCCAAATACTATGACTGTTGGAACTTTAGCACTACATTTGGCAACCAAGGGTTTGAAATAAGAAAAGGCCAAGGAATGTACAAGTTTTTCATGTTGCTTTGTAACTATCTGGTTTCTTTTTTGCAATCTCGCAGTTGGATGGAAATATGTGATATGAGAATAACTAAATTGGTGGGAGATATTAGTTTTGGATCTGTTTAAGCTATTGAATCAAATCGAACAGTCAAATATATGTCGATACTGAATCTCTAGACTGTAGGTACTCAAGAAAAATCGATAATTGAGAAAATGAAGTCATAAATCATAAAAATTTGATGCAAAAGTAAGGAGTAAAAAAATGAAAAAAAAACCCCATTAAAGACCAACATATGGAAAGTTCATTGGCACCAAAAAGATGAGTTGAGTTGCTTTTGTGATTGTTAGAGCATTTTCACCCGTTTCAAATTCCCTAGGGGATAGTGGATTGAATTTTCTCCTCCCCCTTCCAAAAACTTCTCCAGCCCATTTCAATCCATTGGGCTTCGGGAGAGCCCAGTTGCTCACCTAGTCAAAAATCGAATGGCCCAGCCCTTAGGCCATATGACGCACGGCTTACACCAGCCACGTGAAGAACGGCTTACACCAGCCACGTGAAGAATTCTTTTTTCCACTAGGCATGCAGAAAGCACGTGCATGTCTCTGACAGCGTTGCAACGCTTGGGGCCCGCAAACAGGTGCACTAATGGGGCTGGATAAAGGGGAGACGTGGCACATGCTAGGCCGTTAGATTTCCATGGCTATATTTTTCTGGGACGTTGGATTTCCAACGGTAAAAAAAAATTGAAATCTAACCCCAACGAATAGATGATGTGGCACAATCGAGACTGTTAGATTTCTGACCAACACCCAGGTTTTTCAGCTTAAAATAAAATATCTATAAAAAATAAAATAAAATAAATCTGAAATGTTACCGTTGGCCACGTGTCAAAATCTAGGTTGTTGGATTTCAATTTTTTTTTTTTTTTTGTAATCCAACAGTCCAGATTAATTAAGTTAATAAAAAAAAATAATACATAAAATTTAAAAAAAAAAAAACATTATAGTTTTTTTTTCCTATAAATACCTAACCATTATCTTCTACCTTACACCACATTTCAATATTTTCAAATACTTTCAACCAATCTTTCTCCAGTAGACGAAGCTTGTCAGGTTATTGTGAGTGTCTTACCAGCACAGGCCCAAGAGTTTTTCTTCTCAAA